TTTATTTTTTTAACACGTTGTAGATTCGATTACTTGAATGAATAATATATTTTGTTTTTGTTATTGTTCGTTAAATATTAATACGATGATGATATTTGCCACGTAACACCCTTTGAGATTAAAAAATAAAAAGAATTATGTTGCACAAAAATTAGAGATTTCTTTTAAAAATTCTACGAAGTTCATTTATTTTTATCAATACATCAAACGTTTTTTTTTAATTTTTACGTAATCTCACATTACACGTTTTACGTAGAAATAGATATTTATTTTTAAATGAATTTTAACAGAATGATCATTGATCTGTGATTATCCACATAAACATTATCCGTAAGAAAATTAAACAAATGTAGAAAAAAAAAAGAACCATAACGAGTGGAATATATCAACGTTTCGAATATGCTTGCATATTGTGCAAAAAAAAAATCCCATAAAAACGTAGCACTGGTATTCAATGTATTAACGATAAAAATAACATAATATAAAAACGCGTAACAAAATACTAATTAATATTTTTTGGTTTATTTAAATTTATTACCGTACAAATTTACTGATCAAAAAAAAATTGAGACACTTTTATATACAACCACGTATGTCAAAAAAATTTATAGAAAATAAATGGCTAAATATAATATATAATATATTTTGTAGTTTTAATTAATAAACCATCATATTTTTCGTATTAAACGAAACACGAAAATCCTTATAGAAATTCATTTCAAATGAATTTCATTAAATCATATAATCAATTAATTAGTATACCACATGATAACAATCATACCAATTACCACGGGTGTCCTGTTAAATTTGATTAAACCTATTCGATTAGATAAATGATTACGTTGAAGATATATTTAACATTTCCTGATCAATTCGATCCAGGGGCATGGCAATTCCAATTTAAACACCGTAAATCAATCATTGTAAATATCTGTCTATGTATATGTGTATGTGTGTGTGTGTGTGTGTGTAATCATTTCAATACTATCAAATTTCGAATTATCTCGTAATCTTCTTTTATATTTGTTAGATAGAAAGAGAGAGAATCAAAAGAAAAAAACTACACACACATACAAACGAAAATTTTGTTCTCTTTGTAATTATTTATTCATTTGTTAGTTTATCTATTTTTCTTGTGTTTTTTCTTTTTTTTTTAGGATTTCACATTGGAAGAACAGCCGATTGGGGTTATTGGGGGGATCATGGTAATTATTGATAATTCATTTTTCTAACATAGATAATAAAGTTAAGATAATAATTTCATGATAATCGATAACAGTCAAGGACAATGATAACAACTTTTTTTTCTTTTTTTTTTTTTTTTACACAAACATTACTCTCATTCGATATTATTTTTTTTTTATCGATAAGTTGTTAAGTAGAACGATTTGTTCTCGATAATGTAATATATTGTATTTTTTTTCTTGTTCCGATTAATTATCGTTTTATGATAGATTATATGTATAACAATAAAAAAAAAAAAATAAAATAAAATAGATAAAACGATCAGATTTGTAAGAGAATATTTTTTGTATTCTTTTTTCTTTTCATTAAATTCAATCAATTATTCATGAAATTATCTTACTATAATGTTTTGTTTATAAACGATGTGTATGATCGTTGATAAATATTAATAAGTATTACATACGTCAGTATATATATGAAGTAAGAGTATTTTAATTCGATATATTATAATATTTTTCTCGTAACGACACGTAGTCACGTTCTTAAGTGAACGTGACTCTTTTTATATTAATTTAAACAAAAACTATTTTTTCAAATGTTTTAATTGTTAATTTTCTCTTCACGCGAATATAAATCCTGATAAATATAGTGACACTAAGAATAATATCCTGCGTGTCATTATTTCATAACTATGATTCTATTTTTAGAAAAATCGTAATCAACATTTTTCTCTAGTTGAATATAAATTTAGCTACATGTAATTGTATTAACAAATAAAACTCTAACATAAATATAACAAATGTTAACGTAATAATAATATATCGATTAATTGTTTGTAAGATTAAACGTTAACGATGATTATCAAAAATATCTATCTGATCAAATTTGACATATACAATTTGTATTTTTAATTTCACATTGTGTAAGAAAAATCTAGAAAAAAAAATAAAGAAAGAAATTCGATTAACGATTTGTCTTTTTAATTGATAAATATATGAAACATTTGTATAAAAATAATATGATTATTATAACAATTAGTATTTTTAATTTCATAGATATTATATGAAAGACATTTAAAAAGATAAATTTGATATTCGTAATATATTGTTTTATTCATTTATTTTCTTTTTCTTTATTTTTTATATAGAACCCAGTAAATGGCCAGGAACGTGTTCAACGGGAAAACAACAATCACCGATTAATATATTAACAAGAAATACGATAAATAAAGATTTTGGTGAATTAAAATTTATTAGATACGATCATCCGTTTACTGGAAAGGTTACTAATTCTGGACATACAAGTACGTAAACAATATTATTTATGATCAATATTCAAATCTATGTGTGTTTGTTTGTATGTATGTGTTCAATTTTAGATTAAATAGAATAATAATTAATAAATAAATAAATGATCAATATGTATATCTCCCATGAGAATATTCATTTGAATATTTGTTTTGTTTGTTGTTTAAAATTACTATATTTCTTTTTTATTTCTTTTTCTTTCCAACAGTAAGAGTAGATCTCTTCGAGTATCCAATGCAATTGGAAATCAAACACCTCTCGGCAAATTATACATTCGTTCAAATGCATTTTCATTGGGAATCCGAACACACCATTGATGATAAACGTTATCCATTGGAATTACATCTCGTTCATTACAACGACGATTACATTAATGACCTTGTTGCTTCCGAACACAAAAATGGTTTGGTTGTGTTAACTATTTTATTCGAGGTAAATACCCCTTACACATTTTTCTATTTTAATGTTTTCCACTTTTTAAAGAGAAATTTTTCTTTTTTTATTTTTATGAGAATATATACCAATTTGAATGAATAAACAAACAAAAATATATATATATATATATATATATATATATATATACTATGTCAGATATTTATAAATACGATAGAAAACAAACAATTGTATTGCAATGCTTGAATTATTTTTAACACGTTCGCGAAACTGAATGCATTCATTTTCATCCTGTATGCAAAAATAACACGAATGTTATTCAAATTTTCAAACAACAATAATTATTCATTTTATTTTATATATATATATATATACTCAATATAATTTTTCTAATTATTATTCATTTCCAAGTAATAAATAAATAAAACATTTATTTAATATAACGATTAATAATTACTATTACAAAATATTATATTTAATCGCATTACTAATATGATAATTAGTTTTAAAAAATAAAACATCTTTTCGCGAACGTGTTAAAAAATGAAAAAAATATGGTGGTGGTGGTGGTGGGGAGGGCAAAAAAAAAAAAACAAAAGAAAGAAGAAGAATAAAACATATATTATCATTGTTAATAACATTGTAGATCGGTGAGAATAATAACGAAGGATTAAATCCAATAATAAGTGGAGCAAAATTAGTAACAGAATGGATTGGTGGTAGTTTCGTAAGAATTAACGGTCAAGTAACACCTGATTTACTTGTTCCAAAAAATCGTAAGAATTATTACACGTACGAAGGATCATTGACCACACCTGATTGTAAAGAAGTAGTTACGTGGCTAATAATGAAAGAAAAACTTACGGTATCCGAAGAACAAGTAAGTTATTTATTATTATTATTATTAAATCAAATATAATATCATATATTGAAAATATTAATCGTAAGATGAAAAAAAAAAACAATGTGATAAATAATATATAAATTTTGTATTATTATTATTATTATTATTATTGTTATTAATAATAATTGAAATTGGTTTTTTTTTTTAGTTGGAAATTTTACAAAACATCGAATCGCCCAATGGAACATTGAAATTTAATTATCGACCAACCCAAAGTGTTGGTAATCGAAAAATTTATTATAATATGCCAGGATGTTCATCCGCTCCGAGAAATCATTTTTTCTTAAACGTATTTCTCATTATTTATTACATATTATTCGTAAAATTATCATAATTGTTTCGAATAACCATATACCAACAAAATTTACGATGATCCTAGTAAGTATGAAAAGAAAAAAAAAACAAAAAAAACAAAAAAAAAAAGAGAGACTGATGAGTATACGCATTTTTCTCTCTTGTTCTTTTTTTT